CGACACTCGCGCCACCAGAACCACCACCAGCCACGACGTCACCGTCTCCGCCTTTCTCTTTTCGACAACAGCGATTCTCAGGGAGGGTCCTCCTCCGCGTTCATCTCCACGGCCACCAGATTCCCTTTCAACAGCTCGGGCTGCCGGGACTCAACGCCGTCCGCGCCCCTCAACCTCACCGGTGCCATCAACGCCACTCTCTTCTTCCCCATTCGAGGATTTTCTCGAATGCCAAATGCTCCCCGCAACACCACTTTTCCTCTCTGCCTCTCCTAATCTTTATTGTTTATTGATTGATTTTAATGTTGATTGAATCTGGTCCATTTGGTATCGGAAACGATGAGTGCGTAGTGTGCATATGAGCATGAGTGAGATGGATGATTCTGTGACAATGGTATATGGGCTGGCTAGACAGGGGTGCACGGAGTTTATGCAGTAAGCATACATGACCACACAGGGGAGCAAGATGCTTACCTCTCAGAGCTCTAGGGCTGCTGCTTACTGCAAGAATCCGGTGACTTCCTCTCCTTCCTCCTCTGGCCTTTGTCTTTCTTTTCCGGTGCCAATGGTGGATATCCTTCTATGATGATCGCTGCAGATGAACGTCCCTCCTTGCCCCCTTTCCTTTTTTTTTTCTCTGACTCACAAAATCCTGCCCCAAAGATCTCTGGAAAATCCTCTCCGCTAACCACCTTGTCCCCCCCCAAGATCTTGGGAAAAATCCTTTCCTAACCACCTGGTCCCCTCACCCTAGACACGTATTCCTACCATTTCCCACGTTTCCTCTTTTTCTATTTTTTTACTTTTTATTTTATTTATTATTTATTTTCAGTTTTAATTTCATTTTTTAATTTTTTAATTATTAACTCTATTAAAAAAATTGAAGATAAGAAAAGCAGAAATTGAATTAAAAAGCAAAAAATCTAAATAATAAAAATAGAATAAAAAAAAGGTAAAATAAAATAAAAAAAATCAATAAAAAACACTTCTTTTTTTCAACCCGACAAAATTGAGTGTTGACAGCTTGCTTTGTTTAACTCATTCAATGCATGATTATTGATTTTGTCGATACGGGAACGTACGGGGAAGTCTAGATCCGGGGAATTTCTCCCAATAAGTATATTGGTTGCCTTAAGCTCTTGTGCTAAATAAACTAATTATTAGGAATGCTAGGAATCGTATGAACTCGTAATTAGGGAGAAGCCTTCTTGAAAGGTAATTTAGAGAGTGGCATTAACAATGATGAATTGAATGTTGAATTCCTAAAATATATGAGAGTGGATAAGATGAATTGATAAACCCCAACAACATATTCATTCATATAATCCATTGAAAGTGTTTGTATTTTGTTTTAGCCATTGATTAACCTCATGCATACATGTTTATTTTCTGTTTTGCATATTAAACTTCAAATATTTCGTTCTTAAGTCTTAGCTAATCAATGAACCACACAACTAAACTAGGCCGTGAGTCCTTTGGGAGAATGATACTTGGTCTTACCGAGTTTATTTCTTGAAACTATTTGGTCATACTTGTCGATTGTTCAACAAGTTTGTGACATCATATTTTGGTGATCATAAATTTGTCCATCAGCGGGGCGGGGGCTGGGGAGTTGTACGGCTAGTAGTCATCGTCGCCGTGGTAGTAACATGAGGACCCGAGTGGGAGTAGGTATACGTGTTGGAACCGCACGTGCGACAGAGGTACTCTACGGCTGCTTAGAAGATTCTCCATAAGCGACCTATGTCGCAGCCGCCTAGAAGCAATCATTCTTTGGATTTTGGGATGCCATTATGTCTGAAGAGTAACATGAAATTTAGCTCAGTTATAATCAAGTCTAAAATATAAGTTGTAAAATGGAAACATCATATTTGTTTTCGGGAAGGGAGATGGAGGCAAATTGTTAAGAGTGTTGACTGTCTCCAGCTCAACCGGTGTCATTTTCGATCAAAGCCAGGAGGTCAACTTTTCGGGATTATGAGTCCAATAGAGAGGAAATTTCGATTGCCCATCCTCGTCAAAGAAATGTGGACGACCAAATTCAATAATTTCTACTTTAAAGAATTTATCCTTAAAGCCCTTGAATGAAAGGTAAAAAAGTTAAAATCAGAAACTTAGTATGTATCCAACAGATTGAATTGGATGAAAACAAACCAAACAAACTTAAAAAAGGAGAAAAAAGATAAAGTGAAATCAGAAAAATGTATTTCTCGGTCCTGCCCATTTATACGGTGAAACTAGTGTCGTCAAAATAGGTTGAAACCTGTGAGCCAACCCGGCTCACCACGGGTTTAAGGTGGGTTGGGTTGGAAAAAAATGTAAAATTTTTTATGCGAGCCAATTTTGACCCGGCTCACTAAGAACCCGGCTCACACGGGTTGAACCTGTGGTGGGTTAGGTTGGCTCACCAACCCACCTATTTTTTTTAATTAAATTAAATTAATTATTAAAATCTTATTTTTTTATTGAAATCAAATTAATTATTCAAAATGCAGAACCTTTACTTAGCAATATAGCATTTCGCGCTGCTGTTTTTCCAAAAGTTTTCCTCTGCAAATAAAACCGTAAGATTATAGATTGGATAATATTATAGATGGAGATAAAAAAGAAGATGCTTCAAGAGAGCATAATACTGTGGATTTATCCATTCAGAAACTCCAATTTAAAAGATGAATAATATTATAGATGGGATAATTCAGGAATATATCATTTGTTTTATCTTGTTTTTAAACCTATCTACAAGCATGACAATTTTATCTTGTGCTATATATTTTTGTTAACGACTATATGTAGTTTCTTGGTCAAACAGTTGTGTGTGTCACATTAAACTAAATTGGCAAAATTTTATGCTTGATAGCTTAGAATATATATAACAATATACTTCTTTTGTTTCATATTCTTTTATATCAATTGGACCAATTATTAATGTTTCAATTTGATCGATCAAAGTAACATGTTATAAAAATCTGAGAAGAAGAAGGTGAAAAAAGAGTTAATTAAATGAGCTAATGAACCAATCCGTTTAACCCACCAATCCGTGGTGGGTCGGGTCAGGTTCGAATTTTTTTGGTTCACTAATAAATGAGTTGGGTTAGATTGACTCACTAAGTGATCAACCTGTGATGGATCGAGTCGGATCGAGGCGGATTACTCGTTTTAACAGTGAAACACACGGAGAATTTCCTTTTCCTTCCTACAGTGAATAGCTTCCCAGTTTTTGACAACCGAGGGTCCAACCACTAAAAAAAACAAAATCATGGGGCTCCACCCGCACCAAAATAAGAAAAAAAATTGAATTTAGAGTCGTCAAAGGCCGTCATCCAAATAATTGAATTTAGAGTCGTCAAACCACTTATTACGTAAATAGTTTTTCATCGTCACTTTTGCGTTTAAAAAATGTACATCCGAAAGTACCATAATATGAAATTAATTTAAGTGTTCACGAGATTCAAGAGTCTTTAATAGTTCTGAATTTAAAAGCTTTATATTGTACAACTAATTTGTCCGTAGTATATGATTACAAAACTTTTGTAGATATGTGTTTTTATTAATTATATGTTACCAAAAGCCACAGAATTAATAGTAAAAAACTCATTAAATAAGAAATTACATTTACAAAATTCGGCGGTTTAATTATATATTAATAAAATTACATAATATATTTAGAGATTAATCTAATACAAAGGGTAATTATTTCATGATCAGTATGTTACTACACTTAGATACTATTAAGAATCAGCTTGACATTCTTCCATATATAGCATTATAAATTGCTATTAATTTTCACAAAAACAATTAGGATGTATACTATAATATATCGAAACTTGGGTAATCAGAATCCCCATAATCATCCAAAAGTAGTGAAAAAGTCTTCTTGCTAATATAATATGCAGCATGCGAAGCACGCAACCATTTATATATATATAAAAAGTATAAGACGCGTTTATTGCGAAACACATATTTTAATCGCGGCATACATGTCTATCAAATTCATCGTATTTATCTAACACGTGTATTGCATGCAAAACCTCTCCCATCATTTAAGCCTTTCCCACATTTAATAAAAAATAATATTTATATTTTATAGTTAATTTATTATAAATTATTTTATATTTTAAATAAAAAAATATTTTACTGGTGTTGGAAGGATATTGAGCGAAAAGTTGGATGCTTGTATAACATTACTCTTCTCTATATTCATGTTATCGTGTTGGCTATAACATCACGGGAATAATTTTCTATCATAATTTCTTGACAGCGGTAATGGTATAATTATTTACAAGTTAAGATGATTTTTTAGGAAAAAGAAGAAAATATTTGTTGACAACATAATATATATCATGATATTATTAAAATGGATTGTGAAATGAATGCATTCATTTTTTAGAGTAACGATTCATGGCACTAAAAAGGTGTATTAGAAAAAATTGGTAGATTTATAGATTATGTGATGTGATGAGAGGAGAGAGGCAAAAAGAAAGATTTACTATGTTTTCAACTTTTTTCTAATTTTGAGCGAAATTAAATTTTGTTTTTCTTTAAATTTTAATACAGTTAGTTTTTAAATTTTAAAAATAAATAAAATTAATTTTTTTTTAATTTAATTACATTAGTTTTTTATGTGAAAGATTGATTTTTGAATTATTTATATTGTTTAATAAAAAAATTAAATATTAAAGTTGAGAATATTATATTTATTTTTAAAGTTTGGAACTAAAAGATATTAAAATTTTAAAAATATAAATTTTAATTTTATATAAGTTTAAGTACATTAAAAACAGTGTAATAAAAGTATAATAAGTTTAGATAAATCAAAATTTCTATTAATCATTTTCTATGTTATAGGTTGGAAAGAGATGTTTTGTTCTTGTATGAATAATGTAGTAACTTTTGTATTTTTTTATTTATAGCATAAATATGATTGATACCACCTTTCATGTTGCTCATGTCATGCGGCAGCTTCTCTATATAAGAGCCAACATAATCTAACTCGTTAACCTCAAACACACTGTTTTTGCCTAGAAACTAAACAGCACAGCCATGATAGACATACAAGGTTACCTTGCTCTATTCTTCCTGTGGCTCATTTCCACCATTTTTATTCGTTCTGTCTTCAAAAAATCACAGAAACTCCCACCTGGCCCTCCCATCTCAATACCCTTACTAGGACACGCGCCCTATCTCCGTTCGGTGCTTCACCAAGCACTGTACAAACTCTCCCTACGCTATGGTCCCTTGATTCATATCAAGATCGGGTACAAAAACATCGTTGTAGCGTCGTCTGCGGAGACAGCCAAAGAGATCCTTAAAACGTCCGAAGAGGCGTTCTGCAACCGCCCCTTAATGATTGCGAGCGAGAGTTTAACGTACGGCGCCGCCGACTACTTTTTCATTCCGTACGGGACCTACTGGCGCTTCCTGAAGAAGCTTTGCATGACGGAGCTTCTGAGCGGGAAGACACTGGAGCATTTTGTGGGCATTCGCGAGAGCGAGGTGGAAGCGTTTTTGAAGTGGATGTTGGAGATGTCGGCGACGGGGAAGGAGGTGGTGATGAGGCAAGAGCTGATAACGCACACGAATAACATTATCACGAGGATGATCATGGGGAAGAAGAGTAGTGGTGCGGATGATTTTGTGGCGCAGTTGAGGAAGGTGGTGAGGGAAGTGGGGGAGTTGCTGGGGGCGTTCAACTTGGGAGATATTTTGGGGTTTGCGAAGCCTTTTGATCTGCAGGGGTATGGGAAGAAGAACATGGAAACGCACCGCAAGGTGGATACGATGATGGAGAAGGTGCTGAAGGAGCACGAAGAGGCGAGGGCCAAAGCGGGTGCTGACAGTGATAGGAAGAAAGATCTCTTCGACATTCTCTTGAACCTCATTGAAGCTGATGGTGCTGACAATAAACTCACTAGGGAAAGTGCCAAAGCCTTTGCTCTGGTCAGTGAATGAAAACTCATACTTTTTTACATATAAATTTTTATCTTTATTTCATATTTTTTTATATTTTAAAAAGATATAAAAATCTCCTTTTTATAATTATTTTATTTTTATAATATATATATATTTATTCTCATTTCCATTTGAAAAAAAATAGTTTACACTCATTATATTTTATTATCTTACTCGTTATTTTTTATTTTTCCATTACACAAAAGTATGTGCAAGAGTACGAACCTAGTAATACCCTATTTGGAAAAAAAAAATTTTGAGGCTCTTTTAGACTCATTCCATCTTTGACCAACTTCTGTCATTGTCACCCTTTATTTATATGCATTCGGTTGTCCTTGGAATTTAACAAGGGTATAATAGTGGTGACAAGCATGTTCAAACAAAAATAAAGAATCTAAAAATAATATGGATCTTTACATGAGTAACAAGCAATAAAACCTGAAGACAATATCACAGAGGTTGTGGTCGATGTTTTATCTGAACTATGGAACTGAACCCTTAACCTGAGAAAGCTTAACGGTTCCACAGGACATGTTCATCGCCGGCACAAACGGACCCGCTAGTGTTCTGGAATGGTCCCTCGCGGAGCTGGTGCGAAACCCGGAGGTGTTGAAGAAGGCGAGAGAGGAGATAGAGTGTGTGGTGGGAAAGGAGAGGCTGGTGAAGGAGTCAGACATTCCTAACCTCCCATATCTGCAAGCAGTGGTGAAGGAGACTCTGAGAATGCACCCTCCGACCCCAATCTTCGCGCGAGAAGCCATGCGCACGTGCCAGGTTCACGGCTACGACATTCCTGCGCACTCCACCATCATGATCAGCACGTGGGCCATCGGCAGAGACCCCAACTACTGGGACAACCCGCTGGAGTACAACCCTGAGAGGTTCTTGGTTTCCGATGAGCTTGGAAAAGGCAAAATCGACGTGAGGGGACAGTACTACCAGCTTCTACCCTTCGGAAGCGGACGAAGAAGCTGCCCCGGAGCCTCACTTGCGTTACTCGTCATGCAAGCCACACTCGCAAGTTTGATACAGTGCTTCGATTGGGTGGTGAATGATGGGAAGAGTCACGACATTGACATGACGGAGGAGGGAAGAGTGACGGTGTTTTTGGCGAAGCCGCTTACGTGCAAGCCTGTTCCGCGGTTCACTCCCTTCGCTGCATGAACAGTGATGATGTCTGCAACTCTGTTTTCTTTGCCACTTTAAGGTTTTGTCGTTATTTTGGGAAATGTTTGGTGGGCTTAATGGAATATGTTGTCGGTTAATGGCAGCTGTTCTTATTCGGCTTTCGTGCTCCAAATATATTATAAACTTATCATTTCGCATAATTTCATGTACAAAAATAATATTTCCCGATGTGAAGATCTATCTTACTTAAAATATTTATCCTTACTATAATGTGCAAGACTCTCAGGATATAATATAGAAATTTTCCAAAAATTTACGAGATACCAAATTAGTAAGTAACTCTAAAAAAGAGGAAAAAGAAAAGTAAACTCAAAAGGATATTATAAGAAAGAAAAAAGAGGAAGAAAATAAAAAGAAAGGAGAATGAGAGAAAATGGTGTATTTTGGAGAATGCACCACATTCTATTTATAGAGTTTGTGTACCAGCCTAAATCCTATGATCCGCACAAGAATCCCGCATAAGGCTACTGGTCAAAATGGTTTCAAAGAAAAGAAAAATAAGAACGTTGGAAAAATCTCATTGGCTTGCGGAAGAGCCTTGCAGTTTCACAGAAAATAAAATCTTTAACCTTGTGAAGATGTTATGATTTACTCGGCAATATTCACAAACCAAATGGCAATTTTTCCGGGGTTTTATAACATGTAATCTATGAGAGTTGGTATAACAAGCTATGAACGAGTCCTAGATCGAAAGATTGTTATCGTTGTGTTGCACTTAATAGGTCATCACTAGTAAAAAAAAGAGTTTCTATTGCGCATATTATGCTTCGGTTTACAAGAAACCGAAACATAACATGGTGCGGTGGCATTTTTCAAATTTTAGCGAATCTATTGCTTCAGTTACAAACCAACTGAAACAATAAAGACTATATGGCCTCGGTTCCCTAAGCAATCGGTGCCATAGGGTTTGCCAAACTGACAAGGCACATAAACTTTTCAACGGATATAAATATCTCTATAGGATATTTGATCTCGGTTCGAAATCGAGCCCATACCCGTCTGCAGAATTGACATTCTCTGGCTTTTTGCAGATCAAATCTCTATGCAGTACTTTTGGCCTCAATTGTTTGCAGAAGCGAGACCATAGACCCTATAGAATCCCTTTCACCAACTACAACACCCTAAGGTTTCAACTGTCCACCTTTTTCAAAAAGGGTATATGGCATCTGTTCCTTATAGAACCGAGGCCATAACCCTTTTTGAAAAAGATTGTCAGTTGAAACATCAGATCTGTAGAGAGATTTTTTGGAACTTTTAGCTTCGGTTGCCCTTCCAATCGATGCAGTAGACCCCTTTTGGCTTCGGTTCATATACTGACCCATTTTATATATTTAAAATATAATTATTGGCAGTTTTTTAGGTAGTGGTTACTAGGCAGCCGAGGCAATATGGTCTTTATGTCTCGGCTTGGTGAGGATCCAAGGCAAAAAGGTTGAACGAAATTTAAAAATTGTCATTTTCATTTATTTTTTATTTTTTTCGTCCAACTTTTGTCCATGGTTCGCGAGATCATAAATCCCTCGGATGTTACACAATGTCCAAACAAGAGAAGATAAGTTTTTACCTTCGTTTAAAAAGTGTGAAGGTGGATACTCTTTAAATATTTAGAGTTTAGGCTCGATGTAGAACTTAAAGCTTTTTGGCATGAAGTCTCATGATTGCCACGTCTTAATGCAACAATTGTAACCCATGGCTATTCGTGGAATTTTGCCCAAATATGTTAGGCATACCATAACTCGATTGTGTTCATTTTTCTAGTCCATTTGTAGTAAAGTCATTGATCCTGTAAAGTTAGATGAACTTCAAGGCGAGATTGTTATCATCTTGTGTCAACTCGAGATGTTCTTCCCTCCATCTTTTTTTTACATCATGGTGCATTTACTTATTCATTTGGTTAGAGAAATCAAGTTGTGTGGATGAGTATACTTAAGATCGATGTATCCTATTGAGAGTTATATGAAGATTTTGAAAGGGTATGTCAAAAATCCATATCGTTCAGAAGATTCAATGATCGAAAGGTATATTGTTGAAGAAAGTATCGAGTTTTGTTCAGATTACATGACTAAAAAAATCCAATAGGAGTTCCTCGCACATCATGAATAAATGTTCTACAATTAAAAACATCTGATGTGTGAATGTGGTGACAAAAGATCGTGAAGAATTGTTGCAAGCACATATGTAAATATTGAACAACATAGATAAGGTGATCCCTTCTTTGGAAGCACACAAAGCCATTGTGAAGGATAAAAATCCAAGAAAATTAGAGAAATGACATTTGATGGAGCATAGCATAACATTCATGTCTTGGTTTAAATCCAAAGTTGAGAAAGACTCTCACTCTTCTGAAACTTTGTTGTGACTTGCAAATGGTTTAAAGTTTGATGTTATATATTCTACAGGTTATGAAATCAATAATTGCATATTCTATACGAAGACTTTGGATGATAAAAGCACAAGAAGCTAAGTCATTCCAATTTTCCACATCCAAAGATTAAAATCCTATACATCGATCAATGAGATATTATGGCATAATAGAAGAGATATGCACTAGTACAAATATGGTTTTTATACCTATTTTTGAGTACACCACATTCCACATCCAAAGATTAAAAGCTTTTATACTTATTTTTGAGTAGGTATAAAAGCAAGGGTTATAAAAAGTTTACAATTTTTTATACCTAATCTTGAATTGGTGTAGAAAGTTTTACTTTTTATACCTGTTTTGTTCATAATAGGTATAAAAGTCTTATATTTACACCTGGTACTATGAGAGCAGGTATAAAAAGTCATCCTCGTTGCTAGAGAGAAAAATTTCTTTTTATACCTACTGGTGTTATAATAGATGTAAAAAACAAGACTTTTTATACTTGGTGTGGCTTTGACCGATGTAAAAAGTGACGTTATTTTTTTAAAAAACATTTTATTTGTATGTACTACTATCAATATTCAGACCTGCATAAGATTCAATTCCAAAATACAGTTTAAATAATCAATAACAAGTAAAATAATCAATATTGTTTTCACTAACACATCAAAATGTAATATTTACCTAACAAAGTTCCTAAATATATTTACCTAACTTAAGTACTTAACATATTACACATAAAATAGTTCATAAACTCAAATTGTAATATTGAAACATCCAATCATTTACAAATGGTTAAAAGAAATGTAGCCCATTGCTCCCGAACATCCTTTATGACATGTTGTTCCATTGGAGACGTGTCATCAAATATCTACACAATGAATAGTTTGAGTTATGTTATAATATTAATGGCTTAATATCTTAGTTATAAAATGTTCACGTTACCAATTTCCATGAGTCAATGACATTTGCTGATATAATTTTCTGCATGTGCCTCATGACATAATATCTGCACTCAAAGCTTCCCGGTTGACGTGAGCACTACAAGTTAAATTTATAAAGTATCATAAAATTTATAATTGTATTTATAGTTTGAAAGATTAACTACTTACACTTGGTGCAATGAACTGCAACTTCTTTCTAGAGACGATATGTGTTCCCTGCAACCTTGAATATGCCTCAACCACGGTTTAATACCTATTTTGGTCCCTCTTTGTGTAGGGTCTGTTCAAAATTGTCCTCCTTTTTTTCAAAAGTTCACTAACATCCTACTTCTTGCAAAAACGATGCACGTTAGTCCTTTTTGCTTACGGCTTTAAAAAGACTAACGACACAGCTGCCCAGTTGGCAAAAAACTGATGAGTTGTACAGTTTTGGTTGTGGTGGCACTGTGACTTCATTATATGTGTTAAAATAAAATAATTTAAAATGATTTAAAATAATTTTAAGATTACCTAAAGCGATATTACATTTGGGGTAAAATAAACTCGCGATTTCGGGGCGATTTAGGGTTCAACAATCAGCTTTCAAAGAGCGTGGTTCGTTCGTGAGTGCTAGTGAGGTTAGTCTTCTTACTTATAGTCTGTGTTGGAAAGGGGTATGTTAAAAAAGTAGATTAAAAAATTGCAATTCACAGTGTTTCTCTTTTGATAGAATTAACAGTGTTGATTGTTGTTTGCTTTAATGGGAAATGTAGAAGCGTGAAAAGAGTAAAGATGGGGAAAACAAGACACGGACAAAAACAGAATTCCAGGAGATAATGAAAAATTTGGTGAGGACATCAGGATTCACTGGAATAGGAGCAAAGGAAGCAATCTTGTGCATTTTTGGTGTTCCATTGGCTGCTCTGTTGATAAAGCAGAAAGTGATGCCTGAAGCAGTTTGTGATGAATTTTTCATTCCAGGAGTAACTTCTGCGAACAGGAAGAACAACTTTGTGATGAAGTCATCCCTAACTCTAACCCTTTGCTTTTAAATTTGGGAACAACAGTAGCACGAATCTCCAAGACCCCTAACCTTTGCTTTTAGATTTGAGAACAAATGTAGCACGAATCACCAATAACCCTAACTTTGCTTTTAAATTTGGGAAAAACAACCATGAATCCCTTTGCTTTCAGGATGAATCAGCAATTCAATTTAACACGTCAACCANTTCACTGGAATAGGAGCAAAGGAAGCAATCTTGTGCATTTTTGGTGTTCCATTGGCTGCTCTGTTGATAAAGCAGAAAGTGATGCCTGAAGCAGTTTGTGATGAATTTTTCATTCCAGGAGTAACTTCTGCGAACAGGAAGAACAACTTTGTGATGAAGTCATCCCTAACTCTAACCCTTTGCTTTTAAATTTGGGAACAACAGTAGCACGAATCTCCAAGACCCCTAACCTTTGCTTTTAGATTTGAGAACAAATGTAGCACGAATCACCAATAACCCTAACTTTGCTTTTAAATTTGGGAAAAACAACCATGAATCTTTTTGCTTTCAGGATGAATCAGCAATTCAATTTAACACGTCAACCAAAACTGTACAACTCATCAGTTTTTTGCCAGTTGGGCAGCTGTGCCGTTAGTCTTTTTAACACCGTAACCAAAAAGGACTAATGTGCATCGTTTTTGCGAGAAGTAGGATGTTAGTGAACTTTTGAAAAAAAGGAGGACAACTTTG